TTAGCATTCAATAAATGATGATTTACTTTTAAAAAGAGATCTGTAGGGGCACCTGGTTGGCTCAGTGGGGTAAAGCTTCTGCCTTAGGCTCAGGTCATGATCCCAGGGTCCTGGCATTGAGCCCCACATTGGGCTCTCTGCCCAGCAGGGAGCTTGTTTCCCCCCACCCTCTCTGCCTGCCTCTCTGCCTACTTGTGATCTCTATCTGATAAATAAATAAAATCTTTTTAAAATTTTTAAAAAAATTAAAAGAGATCTGTAATACCGCCTTGTGTGTTTTTAAGTGATAAATATATGCAACATATAGAGAGACAACACTGTGGATGTTTATGTGTGTGTGTGTGTAGATGTTTATACATACTGTATATAAACATAGCTATTTTCTCATGTGTGCAGAAAACAAGACTAGAAGAACACACAGGATCTTAAAAATGGCTTAGTAGCACAGGTTGCCCCCAGGAAGGGGAACGGGTGGGATGGGGGACAGAAATGTGAGGGAGACTCTTGTACTTGTTAAAATGTTGATCCGTGTAAATATATTGCCTGTTCAAATAAAAGTAACTTAAATTTTAAAGTCTTCTTTAAAATTTCTAGGGAATGTGTATCAAAGTCTTACAAAGTCTTCTCAGCTCTTCTGAAGGACTGTTATTCCGCTCTTGGGAATTTACCCCCAAGGTAATTAAGTTCTAATAAAGTATCATCAATATGGGAGAAATTTGTGAACCTTTTTTTTTTTTTTTTTTTTTTTGCTCACCCAGCATCCATTCCCATTCTTCCGGCAACAGCAACTTGACTTTGTTTTAAGGAACTATCTGCCCACCTTTGGTCCTTGTGCTTCTGACAGAAATGACCCCTCTATTGACTCATAAGAAAAGCATCTGATCTAGACCCAGCCATTCACAGCATGACTTCTTCCTGACCACAGCAACTGGTGCAGGGAGGAGTGAGAAATCCCAGGGAAGTAAATATGATCCCCTCAGAGCTAATCCTGAGATCTTTGCTTGAGGGATACAGAAGATAACATATTCTCTTTCTCCCACGGTTGTTCACAGAAAGGAGAGAACCTGGGTGCTGTTCATGGTCCCGACTGCCACTGTTCAGGCAGTGCTTGCCTGAGGCCCAACACAGAGGAAGCCTTCACAGAGAGGTGGCAAGAGACAGATTCCCTAATGACACCCTTTAAGCGCCTGGATCCAGCAGTACCTGAACCTGGGATAGATCTAGGCCTCTGTACTTTTCCATAACTTGAAACCATGTTTGTCTTACTTACACCAACTTGAGTTTAGGAGGTATACAAGAAAGAGATATCCAAAATAAATAAGATTAATACCGCACAGTGTTCTGGAAGTTTCATAAACTTATTTGAGATCTGAAATGAAGGTAGTTGCATTGGCTGAAAAAAAAGATCCCTTATAATAACAATAGCTAATGCTGGTGTAGCACTTAATATGTACCAGGCACTGTTTTAACTTCCTAATTCTTCTAACGATGCATTAATAGGGACTACTACCACTACCATTTTAGAAATGAGGAAACTGAGCCACAGAGAGGTCAAGGAAGTTGCCGAAGATCACCCAGCCAACAAATGGTTGAGCCAGGATCCAAACCCAGGCACTCTGGCTCCAGGTTCTGGGCTGTCTCCTGTTGCAGTGCTCAAAAGCACTGGAAACACACAGAGACCTACAAGGAAGCAAGATGTTTCTGAAGGAGCTGGAAATCATCTTTTTTTAACCATCTTTTTAAAAAAACACTATTTTTTTAAAAATGAGGGAAGGGGGTGGCTATTGAACATCTGACTCTTGGTTTCGGCTCAGATCAGGATCTCCAGGTCCTGAGATCAAGCCCTACCACAGGCTCCATGCAGAGTCTGCTTGGGACTCTCTCTCCTCCCTCTCCCTCTGCCCCTACCCCCTGCACTCTCTCTCTCTCTCAAATAAATAGATATTTTTTTTTAAAAAGTGAGGGAGGAAATGATGGTGTCTTTAGCCATCTAATCATGAGACAGATTGGTTTTCTGTCAATTGTGATGCTCTTCTTATCCATTAGGACAGTCCTGTTTCCCTGTTTCCTCACAAGTCATATACAGCTCCAGGAGACTCCTTCACAATGCCTTTAGGGAATCTCCAGAGACCCTCCCAAGAATTCTAAACATTCCCAAGGACATCCAAAGAGATTCCCCAGAGATTCCTGCCCCAAAATAACGTCCTGATACACCCCCTCCCTCAAATATCCCATAGCCTGCCCAGGCGCCTACTGACCGGTGACTTGGCCCAGGTTGGCACACTTGTACCTCCTGCAGTCTGTCCAGATGCCCAGGTAGCCTGTAAAAGAGCCCTGCAAGTAGACCAGACGTCCATCCACCATACTGAGCACCATCAGGGTTGCAAGGACACTGAAGACGAGAGACCAGCCCCGCAGGATGAACTTGCGGTCCTCGTCCCAGGAAGAGATCACGTCGTCTGGGAAAGAAGAGAGTTCTGGGGGCTAGGATCCACCTGCAAACCACTGCTGCGTGCTATTCTCCATTTCTGACCATGGCCCCATCTCCACCCCCACCCAGACCTTGCCTTTTACCCCATTCTCAATCCCCTTCCTCCCACAGCCATCTCCCCACCCCCACCCAAACCCCAATTCCCACCTCAGCCCCGTCTCTGATTCTAAATGCATCCTCATTCTCATCTCTAACCCTAATACCCAACTTGGCCCCCATCCACAACACTGTTTGAAGCCCAAACATACTTGTTTTGTCTCCAACCCCCTCCTCCAGTTCCTGTTCCCCAAACCCCAGCTCCATCTCTGCTCTCAACCTCATCCCCTTATCTAGACCCTGTCACACAAATCTCAATCCAGGACACACAGAGCTACAACACAGGCTCCAAAGCATGTTCATGAGGCCGAGATCCATGGTGTCATCTATACGCTACATCCACCAAGCCCTTGTGATCCTGTCAACCTTCCCGACTGGCAGGGACTCCTGTCCCCCCTCCCTTGCTCTAATGTCCAGCCACACTAGATTTCACAGGGTCCCTTTCACACTGAGAGCTTTCCTACCTCAGCACCTCCACACACAGTTCGGGCTTCTCCTTCTGCCTGTTGTACTCTTCTTCTACCTGTGCCCAAAATGCCCTAACCACCCTCCCATGCCACTCCTTCCACATCTCCTTTCCTGAGCTGTCCAGCCTAGCCCAGCCTCAATTCTTGGACAAAGCCACCCACCAAATGCTCCCACCGTGCAACATGCAACTTTTCTTCACTGGTGTCCCACAGACTTGTGATTCCCCTTATCCCACTACTTTTTTTCCCTACCAGTCTTCTCCAATGGACCTCATTGAGGGTCAGCAACAAATATCTTCTGTTTCCCACTGACCCCTCATCAGCTGGTATAGACCCTTTGCTATTTGTTTAATGAAAAAGGTAATGATGGAATGCGAGAATAAATGAACTGGTGGGGACATCCATGGTATCTAGTTGTAGTAATTCTTTCCTGTCCTTCTGTGGCACCTCTCAGTGTGGATTTCAGAGGAAGTTGGGTATACGGGTCTAGGACTTGGGAAGGAGCTTGGGGGTTGGAGAAAGTAACTTGGTGAGTCGAAATCAATATCTGCGAAGTGTAAAAAATCCAACAGGTTTTGATTACGATGGGTTCTAGGCGCTTTTACATGTTGTTAATCCACTTCATCCTTTTCTTTTTAAAAATATTTTATTTATTTATGACAGAGAGAGAGTGAGAGAGAGAACACAAGCATGGGGAAGCTGGAGAGGGAGAAGCAGGCTCCCTGGGGAGCCTGATATGGGGTTCAATCATCAGGACCTCAGTAGAAGGCAGACGCTTAACGACTGAGCCACCCAGGTGCCCTAACCCATTTTATCCTTAAGACAACTCTCTGAAGTACCATTATCTCCTTGGACAAATGAGGAAAACAAGGCACAGAGGAGTTTGATATTCATGTAATCAAAGACATAAAAGTTTGTGGATTTTTTTCCTTCCTTCCTTCCTCTATCTTTTTTTCCAAAAGGCTACCACAAAAGCCTAAAGGAAGGATGGGGGAAATGGAAGTTTGCAATATTGCCACTCCTGACTGGAAAGGCTGCACATACTTGGAGTTCCTGCATTTCCACTGACCACTTTTGAGCCCTTCTCAAGCTGTGGCTGTTCTGCCTCCCCTCCCAAGCCTGGGCTGCACGTCTCTGAGGGCAGGGAATGGGTCCAACCTTCTCTTGGTCCCCAAGGCCTCAGGAAAAGAGGAAGAGAGACAGAGACAGAGGAGAAAGAGAGCTAGGAGGGACACTGAACTTGAAAAGGGAATACAAGGAGGAAATTGGTTCAGTCCCCCTGGGAGTTGGGTGAGGTAGGGGCAGATAGGAGGAGGGGCTTCCAAATTCAGATCTCACACCCTCCAGAAACTTAAGAACTGACCTCAGGGGCACCAGGGCTGGCTCAGCCCTGCCCAGCCCTGACCCTACTCTGGCCCCTCTCTGATTCTGCTCTGACTGGTCACTCCCCTCCCCACTGTCACTCCACCCCTGCCCAGTCCTGACATCTCTCAAACCCAGGCATGACCTCTCCTGGACCCAATCTTGACTCTGCCCATGCCCCACATGGACCCCACCCTGACCCAGCCCCAGTCCAGGCCCCCTGTCACTCACACAGGTTAGAGTGTGAATCCATGGCCAACGTCCTAACCTCCTGGAATCTCTCCAACTGTCATGGAACCTCCCCCTCCCCCCCAGCTGTAGGCCAGACTGAAGGCCTGAGGCCTGCCCCTAGATAGCAGGAGAGACCAGAGAACACAGAAGGAGGGTCAGAGAGATCCAAAACACAAAGGACAGAGCCTGAATCTAGAAAAGAGACCAAGAGACTCCTAGGTGGACATGAAGGTGCCTGGAAGGAGGGGCTGAAGCCGTTGGCAGGCTGTTTAATTCACCTGGGGACTGGCCTTGCCTTGCATTTCCACATGTCCCAGAGGCCCCAACCTCACGACAAGAGCAGCCAGCCAGATGTCCTTCCAGAAGCTCCCAGTAATACCCAAAAGGAGACCCCAACTTCTCCATCCATTCTCCACAGTCGCCAGGTCAACACCCAAGACTCTCGGCCCATTCCCTACAGGCATCAGGTCAGCATCCAAGAACCCTTGCCCGTTATCCACAATCACCGGGTCAGCATCCAAGAACCCCTGCCCATTATCCACAATCACCAGGTCAGCACCCAAGAACCTCCATTAGTCAACAGTCTCTGGGCCGGTACCCAAGACACACCATCTGTCACCCACAGTCGTCGTGTCAGTACTGAGGACACACCAGCCACTTTTAGCAGTCACCGGGTCAGTGTCCAAGATGCACCATCAGTTAGCTACAGTCATCACTTCAGCACCCAAGATGTTCCACCCAATTTCCAAACTCACTACTTCAACATTCAAAATTCTCCGTTAATGACTACCAACTCCCTGACTAATATAGAGTCAGATACCCACAGCAGAAGTCAAACTAGTAGCGATAGCCACTGGCCAAGACGCTGGAGTTCTCACTCAAGTATTCAAGGCCTCACACCGCCAGTCAGGGCTAAAGTCGATGTCCCCCCTTCAATTACTCACAGCCCCACAGTCAGTATCAAAAGCGTTGAATCAGTCATCTGGCCCTCCCAGGAGAGTTTCAAAGCCTCTGTGGACAGCGCCCAATCCAACCAAAGTACTCTAGAAAATAATATCCAGAGCACACAGGCAAGCAGATCCAAAGAGATCAATGCTGGCAGGTGAGAGGCAGGGGTCCAGGCAGCGGGCCAGGTTCTGGGCTAGAATTCTGGGAAAAGGACAGCATGCAAAGGAGAGGAAGCAGAACTAAAACCAGTATACTGGAGGCTGGAGGATGGACCCAGGTGTGGCAGGAAGCTGAATCTGAAGGTTGGCTCTGGGTGGGGCTTGGCATGAAGGCTGGACCTGTGATTGATTCAACCTAGGAATGGAATGTGGGGGTGGCAGGGTTTGGAAGCTAGGTCTGGAGGCAAGGGAGCCTAGAGGCTGAACGTGGGTGAGCAGGTTCTAGAGGCGGGACCTGGGGGATACAGGGCATGGAGGATAGACATAGAGAAAAGAAAGTCTGAAGGCTAGACTGGTTGGGACAGGGTCTGGCAGCTGGACCTGGGGTGGCTGGGCTGGGTGGCCGGACTCAGTGCTGACACTGGTGGTGGGCAATCTGCTACAGGTTTCAGAACAGGGGTAGACACAGCCATTCACAGCTGCCCATGGGCTGGCGGCTGCTGCATGGAGCCAAGAAGATCAGCCGTCAACTGAGTCTGGCACTAAGCCTGGTTGGCATGATGATCATCGGTCTCATCTCTCTGGGCCAGCCCTGGATCCACTTCCAGGTGCCACTCAGACCTCCTGAGCACCCTGATGGCTTCTTGACCATCCCCATCAACACTGTCCTCTTTGTGCAGTGCCCTGACATCTCCTGCCTACATGATTACGACCAGAATGCTTGTAAGGCCTGTTCTATACTCACCATTCTTGGAACTTATCTCTCCTCTTTGTCCCAGGGACCCTTCTCTGCCTTCCCTGGGATGGTCCTCACTGCCCTGGGTTAGTCTTCCCTTCTCTTAATAGTTCTCACTACCCCTTGGATAGTCATCCCTTCCCCCACCCCAATGGTCCCCACTGCCTCAGGACCATCCCCATTGCCCTGTGCTCATCTTCACCTCCATGATGCCCAACCTCACAGTCCTTATAACCCTAGGATCTTACACATTATCCTGAGGCTTTGCACCCCAGGGAATCTGCCCTCATCACAGAGCTGGTTCCTCAATGCTCACCTCCCCTCTCCCTGCCCAAGAACCTATTCTCATTGACCCAGAGGTGTGCCTTCTGTGCTACAGGCATCTGCCTTAGTATCCCTTCCCTAGAGACCAATTTCAATTTTCTTAAAATGAAGATGAAGAATCTGCAAGGGAGAGTGTTCATGAATACTCCCAACTTCATTGGGGGCCCTCTCCCCCATGCTCAGGGCCCAAGTGCCTCTTTTAGTGTTCCTGGTTTTCTTCCTTCCCCAGATTTGCTGGACTTTGCCTGGGCCTTTCTCATCCTCGCCAGCATCGCCAGCTTCTGCCTCTGCATTTTACTCATAAACATCATCTTCTTCACCAGCTCCAACTTGCCCATGCTGGACTTCTCCAACGTCATCATCAGCCTCCTGGCAGGCACGGCACTAAGATTTTTCCCTCAGGAACCAAGGCGAGAAGTACCTTGTCTGGTGCCCATCATGATATCCAATCCCCTCCCCACCACATTCCAATCCCATCCCCATCTTCCCTTTCATCACCAATCCCAGTCCTATGTGCCTCCAAATCTCCAATCCATGCCCATAAAAAATATGAACTTCCAACACAACCCCATCTGTAGCCCCAATACCAGCTTCCACTTTGCCTCCCATCTCTATCACCAACAAATCTCAAACTCACCCATTTCCCCCTTGGGGGTACCGATCCCCATCCTAAACCGCATTCCAATCCTATCTACTTTTCAATCTCGAAACCATCCCCATTCCCATCCCCAACCCTTTTCCAAATCTCAACACCCAACTCAACCCCGTACCTAACCCTCCTCGACATTCATTCCAAATTCAACCCAACCCTATCACCCGTGAACCTCACTTTCAAACTCAACCACAACCCATCTCCAACCTCATCCTCCATCCTTATCACTCAAACGTCAACCTCTACCCAATTACCCATTTACAGTTCCAACCCCATCCCAAATCCTATCTCCCCACAACCACCTGCCCTGTAATTGTGTTCAAGCTACTTAATCTTTCTGAGCCACAATTTTCTCATCTGTAGGATGGGGATAAATTTCCCACCACATGGAGGTATAGCGAGGACTGAATTAGAAAATGTTGCTACTTGATGGTAGATATTTAACCTTGCCCAAGTCCTTAACCATATAATCCTCCCACCTGACACAAATAACTCAAAATTGATACTCTGATTAGAATAGTCTAGTTTAAAAAGAAGAAAAAAGGAGGAGAAGAAGGGTCTAGTTTCCCACTTGCATGCCAAATACACTTTTTAAAAGGAGGTGGGGCAGCACTTCAATTTGGAAATGAAGGATATTATGTTCCTGCTATTTGTAGTAATTGACCACAACTTTTATTTGTATCAGGAAAACATTCTTGGAGAGTGATAGCAAAGTCAAGAATAAGCAACACTCGAACTTCCTGTTGCCTTGTGTGCAAGAAGTATTTATCCAATTTGTTCAGCAGCTCTTCCCAATTGTTGAAATATAAGGTGTAAAGGGTATAAAACACCTTAGTTTTGTGACATTTATATAAGATATTTTTCTACCAAAAAAAAAATTTCTGCCCATTCCTTTTAATTAAATGGAAAACACCTCCTATATTATCTTTCAATAACATAAAGGAAAAAATTACCCAAGACTTCACTACCTAAAATTTTTAAAAGTTGAAATATTCAGAATGAATGGGTTTCTTGTCCCCTCCTTCAGAAGCCCAAAATTAAAGACACAATACAATGATAATAATTGAGCTCAATTCTGGGGTCACTGTGTATCAGGAAATGTGCCAATCTCGACAACAACTCGTGATAGTCCAAGGAGATGAGTCCTATGATTATGCCTACTTTACAGAGGAGGGAAATGAGGCTCAGAGAGATGAAGTGGTTGCCCTAAGGTGGGAGGGAGACGCAGGACAAAAGCTCTGGTCTGTTGGTTCCAAAGTCTATGGTTTTAGACACCACCACGGCCTGGTTGAAGACTTGCGCTTCCAATGTCCTCTACCATGACAAGGTCAGGAGCCTGTTTTTCCACCTGTACACAGAGGTACAGGGAGGCAGCAGAAAGTGGGACAATACTGATCAAGGGCTAGGCAGCTGCACAACTATGGGCAGGGTTCTGCACACACCTGATGCCCAGCTTCCTAACACCTGTACTCATGCAGGGACCAGCATCATCTTGGGTGTCCTGTTCTACCTGCTGCAGGCCAGGGAGTACTTGCAGGAAGGCATGACTTACAAACTGGGGCTCAGCTTCTACCTGGCATGGATCGGCGTCTTTGTCTTCCTGATGACTGGTCTGGGCTCCAGTGGGGTTGGGTTTGGGCATGGGTTTTCAGGAAGACAGACAGGGGCTGAGTGGGATAGAGTTTGGGATGAGGATGGATTGTGGATAGGGCTAGATAAGATGGGACTGTGGTGGGAGACAGGATTGGGGAGATGAGGGTGGGAATATGTGGGCATAGGGCTGGATGTGGGGATGGGGTTGGGTTTGGATTTGGGAATGGATTGGGGACAGGGTAGGGGAATGACTGGGCTTGGGGAGGGAGTTGGGGTCAGGGGTGGGCTGTGAACTCTGCTTCTCACCCTCTCTGCTCTCTTCCTTCTCCAGGCTTTTTTTCCTATCTCAACTACATGAATTTCTGGTCCATCCTGGCGCTCCAGGCCATCTGGACTTAGGACGCGGGAATGACTCCACCTCTCCAGGCCTTTTTCCATGGCTCTCTGCCAAGTACCTGACAACCCTGCTCTCTAGCCCTCCACCCCTCTGAGAGTTTTGCCTTTTCAGTCCCCTCTGAATCCCCCCACTCAGATTAATAATTAGTATATCTAAACAATCTGTATTTCTTGCCCAGAATATTCTCCTAGCTCAGTACATTGTTAAGTGTCCTGTAGAAATGCCCCTCTCCTTGGGCCCTCTGGAGTAGAGGGACAGGTAAGGGAAGGAACTCAGGAGAAAGAGATGCAAGGCACAAGGTCAACAAAGAGACTGAGCCAACAGTTCCTGGCATCATGCAGATGATGCCGATCAATATTTGTCGGATAGCTGAGTCTCTACAGGCTCTCAAGTCTTTATCTTTTACTTTCATGAATGCCAGTAATGTGCCCCTTTTGAAGCAAATTCTCTCTGCACCCACACTTTGCCTCCTGCTTTTCCCAGCAGCCCCCCATCGTGACCTCCTCTTCTCCCCTAACCATCCCCCAACACAGAGCTGTTCTTTAAAAAAAAAAAAGTCTATTTACCTATATACCTATCTTTAAGGTTGTTTGATGCGTCATATTTTTGCTCTCAGAGTTATTTGCTGAGCAGGAGTAGGGTTGAAACTCAAGTACAGATTTTATTTCATTGCCTGGGTCCCTCTGCAGGGTCTCAACCAGGGGGAGCCCTCTACTTCCCTTTCACACAGTGGTTAAGCTCGAAGGGTTGAGGGTAGGCTCTGCCACTTATTAGCTCTGTGACCTGTGCCCAGGTATTGAACCATCTGGGTCTGTTTCCTCATCTGTAAGATGGGGGTAATGATAGTACTTCAACTTAGATAGAATTTAACATAACACCTAGTCCATAGTTTGTGTTCTTTAAGGGTTACTAAAATAATCCTGCCACTTCTTTCCCACAAAAGGCTCTCAAATTATCTTCATCTTTAATGTAAATTGAGCTTCAACTATGTGGCAGACACTGGATCGATAGCAGTGATCAAACTAGCCACAAATCCTTGTTTTTATGGCTTGACATTTTGGCAGAGAGGCAAAATTATATGCCCACAAAGAGATATGTTAGGGATAAGTGTTATGAGGAAAAATAAAAGAGGGGAAGAGAGACAGGTCTGGGAAGGGGTGGGGTCTCCTTGCCAAGGTGACATCTGCATAGACACATGACTGAAGAGAGGGGAGCCATGGGGATAGACTGAGGGAAAGGATTCCTGACAGAGGAAACAACAAGTGCAAAGGTCCTGAGGTACAAATGTCCATCCTTGGCAGGCTCCAAGAAGACTAGGGAAGCCCTGAGCAGGGGAGGGGGGCAGGGGCAGAGGGGGAACAGGAGACAGTTCACTCTGGCCTTTGTGAGCCACAGTGAGGGCTTTGCTCTATTCTGAGTGAGGCAAAATCCAGTGAAGGGAATGTCTCATTTTCTTAACAGAAGGGTGTAGGTCTCTTTTACTTCAGACCATAAACTTCATGGGAAGAAAACAATCCAAATGACAAGGGAGACAATGTGTGTTCCACTCCAGAAGGGAATACTTTGCCTCTGTTTAAGGAATGAGGTCACTCTATATGTACTGATGGGCAGGGGGACTATTTATGGGACAGAGTAGAGAGGGGCGGGAAACATCATTACCCACAATACTTGTATGCGTGTGTACAGCCATAAAGTAAAAAGTCTATACCACATCGACAGTGGCGACTCTGGAGAGCGAGTTGGATTTGAAGCGGAAAGTTTCCTTTTTTATCTTTGAAAAGAAAAAAATGTTTACTGTTGGGTCCCCCAAAAGTTGGGTACCCCAATAATGGGTCCGTGATTAAAGGAGCGAGACTGATACAAAGCGAAGGTCAAGCAAAGCTTTATTTCGCTCCAAGCATCAGGAATCAGACTGACCGTCAAACAGACTGGTCGGGGCCGCCCCTACAGAGAGGACGACCCCTCCCTGCTTTCCAGACTAACTTTTATAGAGCAAAGGCCATGTGGTTGGGCCTGGCCACACAGAGGTGGCCAGTGGGATTGTAACACCCACAGGAAACTCCACAGTGATGCTAGGTGACCAACTGAATTACAATTTACCCTAGTAGACATTTGAACCAGCCTATCACACCTTGGTTAGGATTGGCGCCAAAAGGCTCCCAAAGGGCAGGGGCCCATACTCCTTGGTAGCTAGGAGACAGTATGCGCCCCCCGCTGATTGAATACCTCCACCTGGCCTGACCCACCCTTGTATTTGGACTTTGTTACCTGGGACTGGTTTCCTGGACTTGCTTTTAAATTTTTTTTATAAGATTATTTATTTATTTATTTATTTATTTATTTGACAGACAGAGATCACAAGTAGGCTGAGAGATAGGCAGAGAGAGAGGGGGAAGCAGGCTCCCCGCGGGGCAGAGAGCTCCACATGGGGCTCAATCCCAGGACGCTGGGATCATGACCTGAGCCAAAGGCAGAGGCTTCAACCCGATGAGCCACCCAGGCGCCCCAGCCCGGACTTGCTTTTAAATAAGTTCCGGGAAGGGGGGCGGCGGGCAAGGTCAATTTAAGCTTTACAGCAAAATGGCAGTTCAACGGGGTGGGCTGCTCTGGCTGAATAGGCCCTTACATTACAATCATTTTAAGTTGAAAGACACTCCCTAGAGCGCCGACCCTACGAAGAATCCAAGCCCCCAGGTCTTAGATCATCTAGACTGGGGGTGGGGGGTTGAGGGCAGGGGATCCGGCCCTCACTCAGCCCAGGATTGCAGGCTCCCAGCGTCCTCCTCCCTTTGATCCAGATGTCCAGGATTCCAGCCAGGGTGTCCAGAGACCAACCCCTCCTTCCGCAGCTCAGGACCAGCCTCTCACTCTGCGCCACGCGAGCACCGCCTCAGATCGTCCTTGTTAATCTCCGCGCTGGCCCCGCCCCCGCCCTGCGCAGGGACTACGTCTGGGTGGGCCCCGCCCCTTGTGCCCAGGGCTGGTGCCCCTGCCCCGCTGGCAATTCCAGTTGCCTCGCGGTCCTTCTCCGGCCGCATTCGGGGTCCTGCCCCTTTTCAGCCCGCCTTTGGTGCTGTCCTCAGAATTGCCTGACTCTCATGACAGGATAACGGGGCCCGATATCCCGCTGATCCTTTTCTCCGACTCCAGGGACAATATTCTGTTGTCTGTTCAGGAAGATTTTGCGAGAATAGCCATTATTCGCTTTCCAAGCGCCAAAGTTGGATTTCCGACACCGGCGCGTGTGCTGGACGCCTCGGGGCGGAGCCCGGGCTGGCGCGCGCGGTGGGCCCGGGCGAGCGGCGCGCACTATAAAGCGGGACGCGAGGCCACCCGCGCACGCTTTGGAGAGGCTGAGGGACGGGTGAGATGTTCTTCCCCCTTTGGCTTCATTCCGTTCGCGCGTCTGGGCTTTGGGATCTGGGTCGCTCCTGTCAGGAGGTGCCCCAGGACTGCGGCGAGGCGGCCAGGTCGTCGCGTGAAAGGGGTCTGGGCCCTTGTGAGACCCCAGCGCGCATTCCGAGGCGAGTCTAGGGTTCTTTGCGGGGCGGGCACCCTTTGCAAAGGGCGCTCAGGGTGGGGAGGACTCCTGCCGCCGGAGCGAATGAAGACTCCCAGAGCTAGCGTGCCTTTGTACCGCAGCCTGGCTGCGCCATCTCTTTCCCACGTTGCAGGGCTCCGCCATCTTGTCCATTTATCTTGGGGGGCTGGGAGGGCTGGGGAGCGCGTGTGACCCTGAGTTTTTCTTAGGTTTTCCACCCCTGTGTTAGCTACATTTGTTTTCCTTAGGCAGTCGCTGTTTTTTCGATGGCACGTGGCTGGCATTTTGTACAGCCTGGCACAAAGGTTATTGGGGGGGAGGATTTCTAAGGAATGAGGCGGAGCAGAGTCTCGAAATGAATTACTGGGTTGTTTCTGAGAACCATGTAGGTGTGGTTTTAGGAGTAAGCAAGTGGGGCCTTTGTTTACCCTCACGAATCATTCTGACACGGTCCGTCCAGGTATCAGGAGTTTTGTGTTCACTCCATGCATCAGTCTCGTGAAACGTGACTTCTGGGCTCATTGGTCCTTGGGGTCTTGGACATCCCTTGGTTTCCTGATTCCGGAGAAGACCCAGCCCCGTGGCAGGTGGCTGATCATCTGTCTCCCCACCACGACCCACCAAAAATCCTCTCTGAGTTTCTTCTCCCTTTGGGCAACCATCTGGAAAATCATTGACTTGATCCTAACTGTGGCCGCGCCACAAGTAAAAGGATTTTTCTCCTCCATCACTGGCGCGCCCTCTGTCGCTGTTGTCCGATGTATTTCTCTTTCACTTTTTATCATTAAAATCCTCAGGCTGCTGGGAGTGCCACCAAAGTTAAAGTTGGAACGTTTTGCCATGTTTGCTTTCCTTGTGTTTTGAAGGCATGTTTTTAATTTCATCGAAAATAGTTAACACTTTATATCATATTTGTGGTTTCAAAGTCGTCTCCAAAATGTCTTCCTCAGCGGATTTGTTCCAGAATGGTTGCAGTAAAGGGTCTCTGGTCATTGCATATGCTGCTTATATCTTAGGGTTTTTTTGTTTTGTTTTGTTTTTCCTAGAATAGCTCCCTCCTCTTATCTCCCAATAGGTTCTTCCAAGGGATGGATGTGTACCCTAGCAGCTTTCATTGATTCGGGTACTAGCAAGTAGAGCCAATTCTGAAAATCTGTAAAATGGGGCAAGTGCTGATAGACACTGGGGTTTCTCCATGTAGTGGGTTTGAGGACAGTCTCCTGTGGACCTGTGACACTGGGGAAGTGGGGTATGGTGTGTCTCCATAGGGAGAGTTGAGGGCTTTCATACCTTCCTGATGGGTTTTGTTTCCCAGTCTCTTGAGTGCACTTAATCTGGCCTCTGTTCCTGAAGGTGAGTGGCCTTGGGATGTGGTTGCCTTGGGGACCAGGGCTCCCATGATGTCCAGCACTGGGCTCCTATCACCCCTGAGGATGCAGTGCCCCCCCAGGACCTTTGACACCTGGGGATCTGAGAGGCCCTGGTTTGGATGTCTCTGGACCACCACGCCTCCCCCAAGACTGTTTCTTCCTCCACCCTCCCTACATCCTTTCTGTGTTACAGGTGTATCTTCAAGCTGAGGGACCACCCACTACGACCTCATCTTGGTGAGAACCTTTGCTTCCACTCCCTGACCCACCTGCTTCCCCCCTCCCAGTCTAAACCTTCATTTGGAGTGACGTGACTTCACATCTCTCTGGAGTGCCGACATGTTTATGGGCCAGCGTTTGTGCTGGGGATGCAGATCCCCATGCAAATCCCTGTTCATTTACAGCTGTGGACGTGTAGCCAGAATGGGCCTGGGTCCAAATCCCAGCTCTGCTGTTCATGGGCTTGGAGAGCTAGACAAGTGATTGGTCTCCTGAGCCTCAGTTTCTAAATCTGTAGAGTAGGCACCACACTTGAGGAACATCTGGGCCTGAGTCCTCTGTGCAGTTGGGGAGAGGTCAGGGGGAGAGGGTAGCAGTGATGTTTCCCATCTTCAAAGGTAGCAGTTGAATTAGGTGGAGAACACATGGATTATGGAAGAAAACATAAACCTATATATGGGTTTCAAAGAAAGGGGCTAACCAGAAATCTAATTTGCAAAGTCAGCAGAACAAAAGAAACAAGCTGGCAACATTTATCACTGTTAATACTGAGGGTTTTGTAGGTTGAAGAATACCTTGTACTTTGAAGTGGAGCTTAGCTTCCCCAGAATCCTTTACCTCTAAGCTGCTACAGTTATTAAAGTTATCCTTGATTTACACAGTAACCATTGTCTAAAGGGACCCTTTATCTGGAGAATGTTGCTCAAGTGTTTCAAAAAGCTAAATCCTAAAATGGGTGTAGAGACCTGTTATCGGAAAAGAAACAAGTGTTCTTGCTCTAGGACGCTCTTTTCTGTTGGGAACAGAACCATAAGTGTGTTCTGGTGTCCTTGGAGGTTTCCACTCTTCCTGTCTGCACTTCAGGGAGAAGAAGCTACTTTTCTGTGATAAGTGAGCTCAGATTTCAGATCACGAGTATCTGAGGACCGGGGCTCTTCGCCTGGGGTATCCCCCTGCAGAGCGTTCATTGCCGCAAAGAGGGAATTTCTGGGAAAGTGGAGTAGGAAGTTTCCATTTGTTCAGCAAGGACAGGTGAGGGGAGATGAGACCAAAACTGGAGGCTTTGAAAGAGGCTCGGGGCGGGGCGGGGGCAGGGGAGGAATGTGAGGTACAGGCCAAGCAGACATGGGGTGTTTCCAGTAGGGGCTCCTTGGAGTTGAGCACAGGAGGGAGGCCCCCGTCCCCCATGGGTCTGTCAGGCAAATCTCCATCTTCCAGGAGGAGAAGCACCCCTGGGTGTGGCGGGGTGGGAGGATGCTGTAGTCAGTTGCACTGATGTGGGGGGGAAGTATGGCATCAAAAGGCACGTGATGGGGGCTTGCTCCTTGGTGCCTCAATGGCCACGTATCAGTCATTTGTCCCACCTGGATGAGCTCTCGTCTGTCATCCACCCACCCCCCACCTTAGCAGGTGGCTCTGGGACCTGAGTGAGGAGATGACAAAGGGTACCCGGGGCCCCCATGATGCCCAGCACTGGGCTCTGACCTCCCCTGAGGACAAGGTGCCCCCCCCGGGGACCTTTGACACCCGGCGGGTTCTGAGGGGCCCCCCACTCTGGAGAGGGAGGGAGGGATGGAGGGCCATGGCTGTCCCGTGCCCCACTGACCCGCTCTTCCCTCCCTGACCCCTTCCCGTCTGCAGGTGGTTCCTCCAGGAATCAAACAGCCGCACCATCCCTGTGCTTGGTAAGAACAGAAGAGGGTCTCTCTTACTATTAATACCGTGATAACTTAACTGTTGTAAGATCTGTAGATGATGCTCATCCTATGAAAGCAGATGCTGAGATCTGGAGTCACTTGCTCGTCACAGTGTGCCTTTGGGGGGAGGTGGCAGGGGGAGGTGGGTACAGGAGAGGTTGCAGTGACGCTGACTGCCAGGGCTTTTGCTGGGGCTATGCCTGGGACCCCCATGATGTTCAGCACTGGGCTCTGACCTCCCCTGAGGACACAGTGCCCCCCAGGACCTTTGACACCTGGGGATCTGAGGGGTCCCACTCCAGGGAGGTGCTGGAGGGTGTGGCTATTTTCCCATTGATGACCTCTGTCCTTCCCTAAAGGTCCTGCTACGGCGCCCCTCCGGGCTTCCTGCTGTTGCCTGCAGGGGACAGCCGTGACCATGGCCGAGAGAGCACTGGCACTCACCCAGATAAGGCGGGGGGACCGTTACTACACGTACACCGAGCTCCTGGCCATCTCCCGGCGCTTCAAGCAGAACCCCAATGAGCTCATGATCACCTGGATCCTGCGCGTGTATGACCAGGGGGGCCCGGCCCTGTCCCTGAATTCTGGAGAGCTGGCCCTGCTGGGCGACCTGACCGGTGATGCCATCTTCAACTACCGCTGTAAGACCCTGCGGGGCGGCTGCAAGTCACTGCTCACCTGGCTGCTGCTGGCCTGGCGCCAGCGCTGGGAATCTTTCCTGCACTTCGAGGCTACCGAGCTGCCCTTCCGACCCTGGACCACCATGGAGGAGGGCATCCAGCTGGTACGTGAGCTGGGCATGCTGGACTGGATCTACCGCGAGCCGCCCTCGCCTCCCGCAGGCGAGCAGGGGCTGCGGCCCGCGCCTGAGGACGTGCCCTTCACGCAGGGCCTCCAGCGGCGCCTGCTAACGGCCGCACCCTCGGAGCTGCGGCTCTCGCTCGTCAGCCTGCTGGTCAAGGGCATGACGGTGCTGGAGGCGGTGATGGAGATCCAGACCATCGCCGACGTGGGCCTGCTCTGGCGTCAGAGCCAGCCGGGCCGCGCCAAGCTCATGTTGGGGCCCAACCCGACGCGCAAAGACCTCACGGGCTGGCTGCTGAGCCATGGCGTGCCCAAGGAGACGGTGGACAAGCAGCCCACCAAGGTGCTCCTGGAGCTGTACATCAAAGAGGCCAAGCGCAGCCGCGGCCACCCAGCCTACATGCTGGGGGACGAGCAGCCCCCACCTCCGCCCTACTCAGACCAGGCCTGTGGGGAGGAGCCGCCTGTGCCTGTGCACCATGACTAGGCCTCCCGGCCATGGTCTTCTCAGTGGGACTCCGTGGCAGAGGGAGGCTGGATTCCAGGGGAAACACAAAAGCTGGAGCCAGTGCCTTGGCTCCACTTACCCACCGCAACCCCCCCGCATCGCAGACTGAGGGATGGCCCATCTGCCTGGTCTCTGGCCTCCCCACGGCAGGCCGCACCGTTACTGTATTTGAGGTTCCCAGAAGAGGGGACGGTCCTTGCCCCGAGCCACCCCACAGGTGTCACCAGCCAGAGCAGTGGAGGCAGGTGAGCCAGCCGGTGGCCCTAGGTGCCTCATTCCCCTGGGGCATGACTTGTTCCTTTTTAGTCTGTTACATTTCGGCCCGATTGGCACAGTGGGTGGGCGGGCACCCACCCCTTGGCCACAGGGGCCCCCCTAAGCACTACAGGCCAAGTGGGGAGACCCCACAGCCCATTGACGTGAAAGCACCTTGAAGTTTGTACCTTTTTTAAGGTATTTTTAAATGCAGTGTTTTTATCTAATGACTTAAAGCATGTGCAACATTTTGATTTTAGAGACGCTCCTTGGAATGTTTTTTCCCCTTAAGACTTTTTTATTCCTGTTTTGCAATTCCTCTCCCATTTAAAGTGGACCTCTGCTCTTTGCTCACCTGGAGAAGCAGCAGCCAGTCCCATTAGGCGGATGTATGACCTCTGGCGAGTGTCTGTCACATCTGGATTAAAGATGTTGGGGCCAAGACTCACAGCTTTGTGAGGACAGCCAGCCACCCTGGCAGGCCACACTGGGCACATGGGACTCATTAAATAGCGTGAGCATTGCTGTGTGTGGACCTTGGTGTCTGAGCAGGGTTGTGACTTGGTCCTGGTGGGAATCCAGAACCCTCCTGGGGGAGGGTAAGGATCTTGCACTGTGGCCCTAGGAAAGCCCCCATCTCCTTGGGCCATCCCAGTATGCTGAGAAGGCTGGGCCCCTACTGGGGTCACTCAGAACAGGGTAGGGGAACCTGCTAGAACTTCGGGTCCGAATCTCTAAGCAAGAAGAGGCTTCTCCCCACCGCCACCACCGCCAGCTCTGCCCCGGAAGCTCATGAAGACACTCGGGGGCCTGTGATCACTCCGTACCTCCAGGGGCAGTGATGGGCAGGGAAGTGTGGACATTGATAGAGCAGAGCCCCCACCCAGGGTTGGGCATGAAAGAAGGTCTCGAGCTTTTCTAAGTTGTACAGACTCTAGGGCTGCTGGCCCCAGTCTGAGGGCCCTGGGCCTTATTACCCCCCAGGTAGAAGTTTGGGGTCCTGGTGGCTAGGAGTAGCTTCTGTCTGTAGGCACCCCCATCTCTGACCACCTCTAGCTACCCTAACTGATGGGCACTTGCACGCTGGGCTCCCCACAGACAACACAGGTGTGACCATCGGCGCCCCACGCTAGGGGTATGGCTGCGGGGCGGTGGGGCTGGTGCTGCACACGGGCCACTCGGCACTTGGCGCACAGCGGGAGTGTGCACCGCCCTTGCAGGTTGAGTGGTTAGGTGTGGGAACACACGAACGAGCCTGCTGTTCACTAGCAGGTGTGCAGGGTGGCTTGAGTCTTAATGCCGTCACAAGCTGTGCTTGCAATGAGGGGAGGCCTGCCTACTCTGACCAGCTGTGCCTGGCCAGAGACCCTGAGCTGCAGCCAGTGCAGCCGGGGCCGGAATGTTCCACTTTGGTTCATTTAGCTACGTGGCAGCCAATGGATGCTACTGCAGACCCCCACTCCACACGCCCCGCCCCCCACCATTGCGCCGCAGCCCTGAGTGACGTTCCCAGCCCCACCTGCTGTGCCGGTTCCCGGGAGGTTAATGGCCGGGGTTGTGGGGTCTGCCAAGCGAGGTAGGAGCAGAGGCTGGTCGCTCAAAGCCCACCTCAAGCTTGCCCACGGCTCTGGACCTGGCACTGCCAGAAGGCTCTCCTGCTACACGGCAGGCCTGACCCACCCCACGCCCAGAAGTTGGGGGAAAAGGTGACCCCAATCCCTACAGCACCGAGAGCCTGCAAGGGTCAGCAGAGCCAGACTGGCTCCCAGGAGCCCTGTCTCCACAAGGTGTGTGACCCGTGCAGGGGTGCCCTGAGCAGGCGCCCGCCTACAAACCCATAGCCCCACGTGTACTGATGTAGCACATACTCCCCGGCTTGTGTGGAGACACGCAGGAACACACCCATACACAGCAGCCCCACATGCGCCAGCACACACGTGTACGCATAGAAATGTGTCACAGGGACACATGCACATAGGCACCAACGTGAGTCTCCGTGCTCCCGTGTAGAAGTGCAGAAGCACACATGAATGTGTAGACACAGGAGCCAAACATGTACACAAACCACCCTGGGCACACACCCACAACACACGCATGGTCACACGCACAACTGCCTGCAGCTTCCCGGCCGGAGAGCCCCGCCGCCCCTGACTCCCGCAGGAACAGGCACGCACAGTAAGTCACGGAAGCCAAAGCAGTGGGTGAACAGACATGTTGGGGTGCAATGCCAGCTGTGGAGGAGGGGGTGCCCGGGTTCCCAGCTCACACAGGGCCCCCCCAGGCCCGCAGGCAGCTGGGTCTCCAGGCCAGCAGGCCCAGCCCCACACTGAGTGCGGCCAGCACTGCCACAGCCCCGGCCAGCAGGGGCACCACAGTGGCTGTGGGGAGAACATGGGAGTGTGAGTCTCGGGACCTGGGCCCCCCCACACTCCCACCCCAATGCCAGTGGCCATCACCTGCAGGGGTGGCAGGCTCACGGGAGCCGTGGCAGGGGACCCCGTGAGCTGGAGGCCGGGCCGGGGCAGTGAGCTGGCGGAAGCGGGCTAGCGGGCAGGCGCCTGGGCACCCGGGGAGGCTGAGGGGCAGGGGCAGTCCAGTGGAGTCATTGCGGTAGAAGAGGGAGATGGTGACATTCCTGGAGGAAGACAGGAGGTGATGGCACCCATATCCCTCCTTACCTCCCCCACCACTGACTTAAATCTGGAGGGAAGTAGCCTAGTGGAGACACTGGACTCCTGATTCCTACGTTATCAACCTCCTTGAGCCATCCCACACAAATCCCCCTCTGCCTGGGACCCCATCCCTTCTTCAGACAGTCCTGTCCCGCCCATTCCCGGGCACTGCCCTCTCCTTACCCTGCATCTTCATCCGGGTCCCCGAGGCGCCTCCGGAATTCAAAGCCGAGGCAGGCAGCATACGGTGGGGTGTGCCCATCATAGAGACCCAGGGCTCCCTGGAGGGCCAGCAGGGTGCTGTCGTGCTGCAGGTGGATCCCAGGGCTGAGACACACTCCTCTTTTGATGTCTCCCCTCTCCTGAACTCTAGACTTGTGCATCTGGCTTCCTCCCAGATGCCCCCTCGATCTCTTAGAACCAACCCTGCCCCCCCAAAATCAGCTCACCCTGGAGGCAGTCCCACCAGTTACAGGGAATCATTTAATGAACATTGGTCAAATAGATGCAAAAATATGAATGGGCAGCTCAGTTAAACAGCTTGTCTTTCCAGAAGAGCCAGAGTCTCTTATAACAACACCACCTCCCTCCTTTCAGACTGCATACCTCTAGTGATATGGTCTGAGAGTACAGTTTGGAAATATGAGTTACCCAAGGCAGTGGGCTGGAGTTCCATTGAGACCACCCCACCAGCTCTTCCTGACCATCCACATTGCCATCTGACATCCCCCCATCCCTGTGCCCACGTGGCACTGCCTCCCTCCCCAAAGACTCACAGCTGAGTACATAACCATCTTGAGGGGCAGCCCCAGGTGCTGGGCCCGAGAGAAGTTGGCAAGGATGGCATCCAGCAGGATCCCTGAGAGGGCAAGAACAGAGTGCTGAGAATCCCCCAAAGGAAGGCGCTTTGGCCTCCCGGCCTCCCAGCCCCACACCTCACCCCCTGTCAGCTGGGCCTTCTCGGCTGCCCGGGGTGGACCCACGTGGGCCCCAATATCCAAAGCTGAGATCTGGGCTAGGGTCCGTAGGACTTTCGGGGAGGCCCAGGATGGGAGGGGAAGACCATGGGCTTGCTGAAAGGAGACAGGGAGAGAAGACAAAGTGACTGGGACATTCTGAGCTTGTCATGCTCCCCTCAGGCCCTCCCAGTACTTGTGCTATCCCCCTGAGCTGCAGTCCTCTCTCCCACCCCTCCGACAAACCCCTCATGGGCTGGGTCTGGTCAGGAAATCATGGCCAATAGCCATCATTAATTAACAATAATAATGACCATCACCCCACAGCCCAGGAGCCCCCACGCAAGGAGCCAGAGGTGTTTCAAACGTCAGACGTTTTGGAATCTAGAAGGTTCCCACGGTGGCAATACCATCTCCCTCAGAATACATCCAGTGGGGGCTGGGCAGCCCCCTTAATCACACACGTTGCTATTCCCACCGTGCAACTAGGGTAATTCTTACGGAATGGGCTAAGCAAAGGCTATCTATCTGAAGAGCATCACACCGGTTCCTGTCGGTCCCTGCTGCCCAAATTCTGGGCGTGGGAGCCCTTCCCGCAAGAGGTCTAACAGAGGAGGAACAGCAAACATGTAGCCTCAAGCATTCCTGCAGGCCTGCATGCCAGGCACTGTTCTAAGCACATCGCGCGGATTAACCCGTTTTCATCTTCCCAGAAACCCCAAGCGCTGTTGGTATCCCCACTGTGCAGATGGGCAAACTGAGGCACCAAGAATTAAGTGACTTGCCTGAGGGAACGCAGATAGTGAGCAGCAAAGCTGGGATTTGAATCCAGGTGCCCTTAGTCACTCGACCGGGTGGGTGGGGCAGGGGCTCACCTGGCATATCAGTGTGTCTAGAACCTTCCATGCCCTGCGGAGCGGCTCTCCAACCAACAACAGCCCGGTGACGTTCTCCAGATGAGTCAGGAAGTCCTGGGTGCACGGAACCTGGGTGAGTCCAACCGGCCGCCCCCGCCCCCACCCCCGCCCCACAGCTTTCCCCGCCCGCCCCACTGGCCCAGCTCACGGTCCAGCCCTCCAGGGCAGTCTGGTACTCCGCCGCCTCTGTGGCCTCTCTTAGCAGCTCATGGTATCGGGGACAGCTGCGCATGGGGAACCTCAGCAGCTGGGGGAAACT